CATTACAAGCCGTCACAGAGCGCACCCAGGCCACTGAAAAATATGTGCTCGCTCTGCAACTAGGCCTCAAGGCAATAGGCGACAGGGTACAACAGCTACAAACGGCCCAAAACTACATCAACAGACAAGTGAACATCCTAGACGACAGGGGCCGGAGAAAAAAACATAAAGATAAGAGGGGTTCCGGAAACCACCCCCCTGGAAGAACTGCCGCACTTCGTGAGACGGCTGGTGGCATCCCTTCTACTGGCGAAACAAGCTAAGTACTTCACATTTGACGGGGTATATAGAATAGCCAAATCCCCTAGAGCCCACAGCACCATGAGACCATCCTTAGATGCCAAACAGTAGCCGATAAGCTAGGTCTAACAGCAGTATTAAGGGGGAAATCCCCACATAACTTTGAAGACTGTCATATATCCTTTTTTCAGGACTTAAGCAGGGCCACCTTGCTATGGCGCAACCTCTCACAAGGACACTGCAAGCGGAGAATCTGACTTACCGATGGGCAACCCCAAACACCCTGTGGGTCACAAAGGAAGGAAAGTCATATAATAAAGCCACAGCACAGTCGGATGCACCTGCACTGCTGGCAGCGCTGGGCCTACACACAAGAAGCACCCCAGTACAAGGACTGTCCCGCTCTCCAGCCCGGTCTTTCACCGACACACCCTCACTTGAACCCAGAAGAAAAATGGGACTCAAACACTAATATCCATGTAGCTCCAATAGCACCGTACATTACTTTTCTTTTTACAAATGTTCTTGAGTTTTAAATGCTCCTCTTGTTCGCCTTTTACTTGTTAATGCCTTGCAAAGTAAGTTACCTGCTGGCACACTCCACCCAAACACCTGCACAGAGAGGCATCAGAGCCTCAACTGCCCTAGAAACTTGTCAGGCATACAACGCACTCCATAGGGGGACAGCCACCACTACTCCCCTCCCCCCCAACACCCCAGGGTACAGGGGTAGAAACCACAGGGGCACGGAAGGGATAGCACCCGAACATAGACCCTTGGATCACTCGACATACCTCTCACGGCAACCGACAAGCTCCACACTATTATAGCCCTCGCCACTTGACCTACCAAAAGCTCCTTAGACGAGCGACTGCCACAGACGACACATAGGACACCATAAAGGAGCAACACCTACATGACTAATCCCAACTGAGTACAGCGCGACCATCCACCGGCATACATGATCTCGAGCTCCCAAACTAAGCTCTAACACGACCCATTGTGTCCCCACAATTGTTCCCACAACCTGTATCCACAGGCCACAGACCATACTGCCTCACCGCACACGAGACAGAACATGTGGGACATACCTCACGGAAACCACGGACAAACAGGGCCAGACCGCTATACATAAAGTGGAGGTCTCAATCACATAAACAGTTCACCCCACACAGAACAATTTACCAAAAAAAAAGTGCAAACTTATCGACTGCCATCCCTGATGTCTAAATGTTAATTGTAAAATTGCCGAATCCCGATTACGTGGAAGTGGCATGTAAAAAAGTTTTGTACCATGCAACATGCACCAAAAAAAAAAGAATTAAATAAAAAAGAGAAGTAAGAGATTTAGAACCATGATGCAGGAACAAAACCTTTTTGATGCATGGCGAGTTCTAAACCCAGGCCTACAAGACTACTCATATTATTCTCATGTACAGAAAAAATTATTATTTATTACTATTATTTTGTAATTCGTCTCTTTCTTTATAATTTAAGAAGTATAATAATAGAACCAATAACATTGTCTGACCACAGTCCAATTTTGTTGAAACTATCGCTGACCAAGAAATTAAGACCCTTTGTAAGTTGGAAGATGAATAATAAAATACTTTAATGGTCAGAGACTAAATATCTAATTGATTCTGCATTGAATGAATATTTTACTATGAATGATACTCCCGACATCATACTGGAGTACCTTTGGTTAGGTCACAAAGCAGTAATTAGAGGCAAATTTATATCTCATGCATCATATGTAGCTAAACAAAAAAAGAAAGAGCTGAACTCAACTAATAGAACTTGAAAGAGTATATAGAACTAGACCTTAAGAAAATCTATTAATTAAAATTCTATTAGTTCTATTAAAGGACCACTCTAGGCACCCAGACCACTTCAGCTTAATGAAGTGGTCTGGGTGCCAGGTCCCTCTAGTATTAACCCATTTTTTTTATAAACATAGCAGTTTCAGAGAAACTGCTTTGTTTATAAATGGGTTAATCCATCCTCCAAATCCTCTAGCGGCTGTCTCATTGACAGCCGCTAGAGGCACTTGCGTGACTCTCACTGTGAAAATCACAGTGAGAACACGCAAGCGTCCATAGGAAAGTATTATGAATGCTTTCCTACGAGACCGGCTGAATGCGCGCGCAGCTCTTGCCGCGCGTGCGCATTCAGCCAAATGGGAGGATCGGAGGCGGAGGAGAGCTCCCCGCCCGGCGCTGGAAAAAAGGTAAGTTTTACCCCTTTCCTCTCCCCAGAGCCGGGCGGAAGGGGGTCCCTGAGGGTGGGGGCACCCTCAGGGCACTATAGTGCCAGGAAAACTAGTATGTTTTCCTGGCACTATAGTGGTCCTTTAATTAGAACAACAAGAATCTGAGAAAAAAGAATATTATATGAGACGGTTAAAATTACAGTTGTATACAAATGGAAATAAAGCTACTCGTTTAGTAGCAAATAAATTAAAGGACCACTATAGGCACCCAGACCACTTCAGCTCAATGAAGTGGTCTAAGTGCCAAGTCCATCTAGTGTTAACCCTGCTGCTGTAAACATAGTTTCAGAGAAACTGTATGTTTACACTAGGGTTAATCCAGCCTCTAGTGGCTGTCTCACTGACCGCCGCTAGAGGCACTTCCGCACTTCTCACTGTGAAAATCACAGTGAGAAGACGCTGACGTCCACAGGAAAGCATTGAGAAATACTTTCCTATGGACTGTTTGAATGCGTGTGCGGCTCTTGCCGCGCATGCGCATTCGGAGTTGACATCGGGAGAGGGAGGAGAGTTCCCCGGCGCTGGAGAAAGGTAAATGTTTAACCCCTTCATCCCAGCGAGAGTGGGACCCTGAGGGTAGGGGGGCCTAAATACCCTATAGTGCCAGGAAAATGAGTTTGTTTTCCTGGCACTATAGTGGTCCTTTAAAGAAAAAAACAGGCTGCCACTTCTATACCTTTTTGATAAATGAACATGGTGAAAAAATGTATGACCCTCAAGTTATGTCAAAATTATGTTCAAAATACTATTCTTCTCCTTATATCATAAAATGTTGTCCTGAGTTCTTCTACACCCTGACAACAGCTATCCGTCGGTTTGTTTGGAACCAATGACCTACAAGGATACGCAGAACACTTCTGGAGCGGCCCAAACACACTGGGGTGCAGGATTGCCGTACATAATCATGCACTTTCAGGCGGCGCACCTACATTGGCTTGTGGACTGGCACGCCCACCCGAGTACTAAACTGTGGGTGGAAATGGAAGTCCACCAGTCAAGGGGTAAGATCCCCTCCCCACTATGGCTCGGAGGGGGCCTTATTTAGCGAACCCCACTTGGGCAAATGCATGATACACCCTACCTTCAGAGTCTGGTGCACCCTACGTGTCACAACAGTGACCCCTTCACACAGAGTGAAATCCAGAGGAAGACATATACCGGACCTTAGAATGGCCGGACTTGCATCTTAGAGTAGTCAAAGGAATAGCCAGAGGTCAAGGGAATACAGAAGATGGGCACACGATAGTCCAAGCCAAAACAATGGGAAACCAGAGAACAGGATAGTCAGATACCAAAAAGACAATCAGAAATAAAGAGCGCTAGGGGACTCAAACAAGAACCACACTAGGGCGCCTAACAAGTGCCAAGGTTGCCTTTTTATAGTGTGGGATCTTTAGCTTTAAAGCCACGCTCCCAAAAGGTCCGGGAGTGTGGCCACGTTTGAATTTTGGCGGCACTATTTTGCTGACGACGGAGCGCATGCGCCGCGTCATAAAAATGAGCGTGTTCCGAGCGGCCGGCGTCAGAAGGACTGAGCCGCCTCCCGCATGTATGGGAGGAGAACGCCGCGCTGCGCTGGTACGGCGGGGAAAGGTAAGTGATCGTTACACTACGCTGCTCCCAACAATTGACCACATTTCCCAATTCACTAACCCTCATCACTAACAACCCTGAACTAGCTGGAGGACTGCATCCTGCCACCCTAACGAATATCCAGGCAATGAATTGGGTTTATATGCACCAATGGTGCGCTGCCAATCACCTAAAGCCCTTGACTGACCTCCTCACAGGCTGACGATCGACACATCTATATAGGTTCCACTAGCACCAAATAAAGACCTTTTACACATCCATTCGAAGCAGGGACCAACTACACAGAACCCTGACATATTTAGAAGGCCTATGCCTAGAAAACACATTACATGCAGAATTGCAGTCCTATACAACGTCCTACTAACTAATGGCGACAAACGTCCACTGGGTTTCACTGGTAAATGGGAAAAAGAGGTAGAGGTCAATTCACAGACCAAGAATGGGACAAAATATTCCTCCTGACACACAAATGCTCAATAAGTTCAAAATACCAAGAAATGAGCTACAAATTACTGATACACTGGTATAGAACTCCTGACACTCTCAGACGCATACATGAATAGTGGGCGAGTGTTGGCGTTGTGGTGCTGGTATTGGCAATGTATTGCATATCCGATGGTCTTACCTCCTCATAGTCGTCTTCTGGCATATGGTGAACATGAAAATAGAGGAGATTACAGACTCAGGCCTACCACTACAAGCAGAATAAGCAACATCAATTATGAATAGCAGAGCGTCGGGGTGATAGCACCAGACATGCCACTCAGACATAACCCTTTGAGGACACTGAGACTGAACTGACCTCTGTTGTACGTACAGTTGACCACGCTATTATCCCTTGTTACTTTTCGATAGTCCTGTACAACTACACACTAATTTTGAGCCATGTTACGGCTGACTTGTTATGTATCCAAAGGAAAGGCAAAAGAAACAAAAAAAAAATACAGAAAAATAATAAAAATAAAAAAATGTCCTGAAACATATCAACAAACTTCTAAAGAAATTTCAAACTATCTTTCTAATATTCAAATTCCTAGTAATAATGCAAGTCAGACGCAAGCTTTACAAGAGCCTATAACAGAAAAAGAGTTATTACAAGCTGTTAAAACTATGCCACAGGGAAGATCACCGGGTCCAGGTGGGTATGGAGCTTTATATTGTAAATCCTTGTGTAGAAGTCAATGGAGCAAATATAAGAGAAAAAACAAAATGGGACAGTGATACATATATAGTTTAGTATATCTAAAAAAAAGCAGAGACAAAATACAAAGAAAATACTCCAGATCATAGCGTATGGATGGTACAATCCCTGTCTGTGGATGTATGGATGGTCCTGATCCTCTCCGGTATCGTATCTTTATACCAATAACCCACGTGCTATGCGGAGAATGTAAAAGAACAAGGATAGTGCTCTCTGTATTATTAAAACAAATAAAATAAGAAAGGAGACATATTCACAATGGATGAGCAGATAGGGATTGCTCAGTCCTTAACAGCATAGGTGGGTTGTCCCACAAATATTGCGCCGCGGTCCGTACCACGTGATCGGCATAGACCGCATCGCCATAGCAACCCGACATAGCTGTAGCACTACCCTACATAAATATAAATATGGAAGGCCCTGTCATATGACTTTCTAGTATTGTTGAACAAAGCTAATTGTGAAAGGAGTCTGCCATGCGTTAACAGATCTCCGAATCCAATGTCATGTCCTGCCATGACGGAGCCGGGGTAGCCACCAGGGCTGCCATTGGTAATGCTTTGTGGAATTCCTGAAATTGAGAGCGAGACAAACGATCAGCTGCTACGTTCTGAACACCAGGAATATGCACACATACCAGGAAGAAGTTATAGTTAGCTACCAGCCATGTAAATCTCCTCAGAAAGCTCATAATGATCAGAGATTTAGAACAACCTTTGTTAATTACATGGCAGGTGGCTAAATTGTCTGAAAAACATCTCACCGCCTGACCTGACCAAGCTGTTCCCCATGCTACTGCAGCAGCTACGATAGGATAGAGGTCAAACAGGGCAGAAGTGGTGGAAAAACCTGGTACATTATACACTTCTCTAGGCCAGACCCCCCAAAGCCAATTATCACCAAAAATAGCCACAAAGCGCTGAGCGCCCGCGACAAGGTCGCGAAGGTCAACCAACTCACTGTTACTGTAGCTTTGGGACAGTAACTAGAAGCGACCGGAGGAGAGTGGAAATATCCCGCAGGCCTTTGGACCGCTGGATACTCGAACCAGGCACTCCAAGAGCAGGTAAGTTAACCACGAGGAAAGGTAAGCAAAAAATGGCGATCGGCTGAAGCCGGAAGTCCAGGTATGTAAATCGCCAGACCAACAATGGTAATGAGAAGTAGGGAAATCATGCCCCTCCCACAACTACAGGCCCAGCCTTCCATATATCAAAAACACAGATGTGATGGCACTTATGTATAAATTTAAAAAAATATTATTTTCACATATGGTGTCTGGGTGCTCTAATAAAGGCAATATACACTGATGAGCCACAACATTAAAATAACCTACTTAATGTCATGTAGGTACCCCTCCTGCTGCCAAAATAGCTCTGATGCTTCCAAGCATGGACCCCACAAGACCTTAGAACGTGTCCTGTTGTATCTAGCAGTCCCTTTAAGTCCTGCAAGTTGTGAGGTGGAGCCTCCATGAATTGGATTTGTTATTCCAGCACATACCACAGATGCTCAATCGGATTTTGATCTGGAGAATTTAGAGGCCAAGGCAACACCTTGGACTCTTTGTCATGTTCCTCAAATCATTCCTGAACTAGTTTGTGGCAGGGTGCATTATCCAACTGAAAGAGGCCACTGCCATCATGGAACACCATTACCATCAAGGGGTGTAAGTTGTCTGCAATGATCTCTAGGTAGGTGATACATGTCAAAGTAACATCCAGGTGAATGCCAGGACACATGGTTTCAAAGAAGAACGTTGCACAGAGCTTAACATTGCCTCCACTGGCCTGCGTTCTTCCCATGGTGCATCCTGCTGCCATCTCTTCTCCAGGTAAACAACGCACATGGACCCGGCTATCCACCTGATCTAAATGAAAACTTGATTCATCAGACCAGGCAACCTTCTTCCATTGTTTCATGGCCCAGTACTGATGCTAAAGTACCCATTGAAAGTGCTTTCGATTGTGGACTGTGACTGGTCTGTAGCTATGCAGCCACATACACAGCAAACTACAATGCACTGTGTGTTCTGAGATCTTTCTCACAAAGCCAGCATTAAGTTTTCCAGCTATTTTAGCTACCTTAGCTCTTTTGTGTGATCGGACCAGGCAGAAGAGCCTTCACACCCAACGTGCATCAATGAGCCTTGGGCAGCCATGATCCTGATGCCGGTTCACT